GTACGAATTTTAATATGGTTACTCCACGCGAGTGCAATTTTTTTCTCCGTAATTCCATCTGTACCGCGTGATCACGAAACTATTTCGCAAACGTGTAAATCTCGAAGACGGCTCGAGGCGACTCATCCGCGTGTACGCGAACACGGGTAATACAAACGGTCCGGCAATAAACGTGAGCGTGACCGATGCTCCTCTATTTGCATTGCACGACTTTCCCGCTATTATCACCATACAATAACACAGATCTTGGCAAAGGAAGAAAATGCCGAATATCGCCGCAAAGCTTGCCTGACGCCCGATAGAAACGGCTTGACCCAGATTCGGCGAGCAATCATCGATTTATGTGAATTCATGTCGAAAGTAGTATGCATTTTGACAGCAGAAAATCGTCAAATAGAGTTACAGTAGGCAGCATGCGGAGAATCAAAAAAATTTGTGCAACTATCATCCTCTGTTTCACGAGTAACAACAATTAAGTGATAATCAAATTCGTATTTATCCCCGCTCTTCAATCTGTACCCTCGTATTACGGTAAGCAGCAAATTAAAGATGTACGTAATCGTTGTTTCAGATCATCTCTTTATATCAAAATTATATCACTGCAATTTTTATAGAAAATTGATTTCTATGGTATAAATTAAAAAAGTCGATTTTATCGTGTTATATTTTATTAATTATTTAATTAATTTTCAAAAACACTCAAGTAGGTCGTAAATCTCAATTTTCTCTCCCATCCTATTCGTCACGTGTCAAACTTGGAACTAGGCCACTTACAAATTAATTTTGCCCGCTATAGGTACAGAGGATTTTCGAAATTCTGAGGCGAGGAAACGAATTAAGAACGATCAATCAACTTTGCGCGACCGGCGAACTTCGCGGATGTTATCGCGTGCTAATAATAATAGGTTCCCTTCTCGCGCTGATTCTCTTTGCGAAGGAAACGCGCGCAGGAACGATAAGCGAAATATTTCGCGACGGCTATCAGATTCTCGCGGAATCCGATGACGCGGTGTGAAACGTTGGTCGGATCTTTCTCTCTCTCGACGTGAAACATGGCAAATAAACTGAGAATCGAGACCCGCGACCGACCGCAGAGTTCCGTGATTTAATGCGATGGCCTGCTTGCTTGCGTGCGCGAGTGACTTTAAAAATTACTCCCTGTTAAACAATAAAACTTAACGAACCCGTAATGAATATATAGTATGTGTATTCCAATTTAATATTAAACTGATGCTGCATAAATGAAGCATGCGTGAATAGATATCTGAATAGTATTATCGTGAACAATAGTTAAACAGATATTAATAGAGAAATAATAAGTTGACGATCAATATCAGTTCCAATTAAATTATAATTTTAAGACCTTCCTATTGTGTTACACAATCTCATTATATATTTGCAATAAAATTGTAAAGAAAACAATATATAAAACATTCTCAACTTGTATATTATATATATCAAGCACCAACATAAATGTACGATGTATGTATATATATATAACAAGCACCAACATAAATGTACGGTACGTCAGACAAAAATATGCAGTATATGTATAATGTGACACGATGCGCAAAGTGGTAACATTATCTTATCGTGTGATATGCGTTACTTTCCATTCCTTTCTAGGAAAAGGCAACGTCAGGTTTCGTGCATCAAATATGCGAAATAGATTAATTAAAATAGTACTGGGAAATTACTAAGAGATCGTAAACTTTTTTCTCTTTGAAAAAAGTTTGTCTTTTGGTTAGTTCGGTTAGTTATAATTAAAGAGATACACATTTTCTTTACTAAATGCCTATAGTATAAACTGAATGATAAAAAAAAAAAAAAAAAAAAAATAAAATAGCTAGGCAATGTATACCCAGCCGTT